TTGGGTGCTCATAAGCTCCTTTTAATAGATTTGTACTAAACATATTAAAAAGCAATTACTTCTCTTACTAAATAATTTTTCATAAAGTACTTACTAAAGACTGATTTTGTATAAAAAGGAAATGTATTTAAAATTAATAATATAAATACACAAAAACATAAAAATAATCATAACACGAAACACCATTACTTCTACAAAGATTTCATGTTTTATATTCTTTTGGCCAGATAGATGTTATGTGAACCTATAGCAGATAAAATGAAACTGATTTCTCAAAACACACTGATGCACTTACACACATGACATGATGTAGTAATTTGTTTTAATTTTAATTGAAAAAGAAAACACTTTTTTTTCAAAATCCGAACAGGCCAGCAATGAGTATCCTATGCTGTTCATATTTTGTGTTTGTGTGTGTAAATATATATATATATATATATATATATATATATATATATATATGGGGGGGGCTAAAATTCTTTTTTGCGGGGTGGCCATTTTTTTCTAGTTCCGCCACTGCTGCTATATTATCTGATATTAATAAAAGACTGTAAAATCACCAATAATGTGGTTTGTATTTGCCTTTAGTTTGTGCCATGAACCCAGTCATACAAAAGGGATGTGACAATCACACCTCTCCAAAACTTTGTGATAATCTATTGAGTGAACTCTTGCTCGACATGTTCTAACTTCACATTTCCTAACCTCTTTGCCTGCTGCTCCACTTACGGCTTTTATAAACATACATTCACAAGAAACTAATGTCCTATACCATTTCTGCGAGGTACCGAGAAAAGCCATAGCTTGGAAATCACCACTAATACTGCCTTGCTTGCATGCACACTAAATTAGTTATATTTTCTAACTTATAGTGCATTTAAAAGTTTTTCGTTAAGGTTGTTATATTTGTATTCGAATCTTTAGTCAAAATATAAATACATAAAAAGTTTGCAAGAATTAAAAGTCGTGGATCATAAAACGTAAATGAAAATAAAATCTGTAGAATTTAATTTTCATTGAGGCTTCTTCGGAGCCACACTGTGCTAGGCTAAATTTTAAAATTCTTAAAAGAAGAATGGTGACATTGGATGAATATTTAAACAAATATTTAGCTGAAATAAAATTTGAAAAAGAGATTCAATAGATAAAAGTACAACAAAAGCATGAAAGTTCTCAATGTTCATGTAGTACGAGTTAATATTATGTGAAATAAATAAGATAATAAAACTAATCAAACACATTTCAACAAACCACCTAAAAACTTTAACATTTCCTATGTGTTTAGAGGTTGTGCACTTCCTATTTCTCCTGCTTAGCAAAATTTTAAATACTATAACGAAAATGATCAAGAATATCACTACTGGAATAAGCATGGTAACAATTTTTATGGAATTAAAATTGTTATTTTTTAAAGAAAAATCCAATATGTAATAAATAAGTCTTTGTTTTGATTGCTTAGCATCTGATATTAAACCCCATGTAAAGTATTGTTTTAAAAAGCAATACGTGACAGTCAAAATAATGCAAATGTTTAGAGTAACCAGCACCAGTTTGGTCATGTTAGTGTTGAGCAAGTGTCTAGTAGCAGGGTACAAGACAGTGGTAGCCTGCAGGATGGCTAGTGTTGATAGATGACACACGTTGATTACAACACCAACGTCGTTGGACACCAGGTACAGCCCGTACGGGAACTCGTGGTCAGTGGCAGACGTCAGGAGCTGAAAGTTCACCATCCTCATGGCGAGGGTTGTGACGTAATAAAACAAGTTGCAGACAGACAGTGACGTCAGTATGACGTCTGATGTATTGTTTTTTCTGTATCTTGATATCATCGCGATGTTAAAAATATTTCCCAAAATACCAACAACAGTAAGAGGCATTTTTTACACATTAATGTATTATTTTCTTTGCTAAATCTTTCCTAGACAGCGAAATTGTATAAAGGCAACAATAAAAAAGGTTTAAAAATGTTAACTCACATATGAATTATCAAAATATACCTAAAGTTGTTTGTACGAAGATTATTTAGATATTATTTTATAGATCTAGTTATTTTTAATACATTGTACTTATAGTCATATAGCAAGAAATTTAAATATTGTAGTGACTGATATTGGATCATATTTTATGTGTTATTTTCAACAAACATTGGATATCATCCTGTACTTGTCGGTCATTGTAAACAGCACCGTAAAAATATAAGTAGAGTCTAATAGTCTAGAGTTTCACAAAAAACATTGTACCTCTTAGTGCTGAACCTATTTGCGACGGTGCGTTGTAAACACAGCTTCGCTTAGAAATTTTGTGTCTCTTGCATTTTGATATTATCCCTTACAGCTTTGACTTGTGTCTTTCCACAGCGATCAGCCTCTTAAACTACACCGCAGTGGGTGGACATCACGTACATCCCCACTGAGGAAGTTTTACATTTGATTCGGAGATAAATTTTTACTCACTTGGAAGCATTTTGTGTGTATTCGTTGCGAATATTGTTATACTACAACTGTGATTGAAGTACGCGTGTGACTCATTTGCCTCTGACTCTGACCTTAAAATATTTTTAAAAATATGGCTTTAAAATTTTTTAATAATTTAACAATATTTTATCTCTGTTAAAAGCAATGTCAAGCTATATTATAAGTTTTCGATTCGAAAATTATTTTGTTTTGCATTTGCGTCATCCAGTATAATTTTAAATTTACCTGAACACTTTGCCACAGGTAATAAATGTGTATGGATAAAACAATTTTTCGTCGTACCCGATAAAGATTCTAAACGCTAAATTCAATACGAATAAACTGTAATCCGGGTTCGAATTACAATTACCGGAAAGCAAGAAAAGTGTTTTCCGATAACCAAGAAGCTTGGATAGAAAACACGTTTGCACAGAAAATTGACATCGAACAAAATTTGACTAATTTAACGAAGAACACACACCAATTTAGCTTGGGAATAAATCAATACATTTATCCCGAGGCAAATGCCACGTGGAAGAATTTCCGTTCGTATGATAAAGGGTCGTAAGCTAATAAGAAATAAAACTTTAATTTGTTGTTTGTGTTAATATTTTTTTACCTTATACTTGAGCTTCGTTTATTTATTTGTAAATCATTTTTCAATGTATCATCCGCGTATATAGCAAATATGGAAAAAGCTTTGTAATGTATAAAGATCCTACATGTGTATACTAGAACATTCTCCAGCGAAATTTTAACTCCTGCAGAGTTGACTCGTCATTTATTATGTCTGGTTTTTTTCTTTATTCTGTGAAATGTTAGAGCAAACATTCATATCGAAGTGACAGACAACTATCTGTTACAATATATCAAACACGAAGTTCCTCTCTAAATAATAATAAAAAAGGTATATACGTTAAATCATGACCAAAACCGTTTAATTATTTAAAGCAGGGGTCTCCAAACTACGGCCCGCGGGCCGGATGCGGCCCGCGAGGTCCTCTCATCCGGCCCGCGGAGATCTTTTTGTCCACGGACAAAACGTTTGTTGGTGATGGTTAAGCAGCTTTGCCCAGAAAAATCAAAGACATGTGTGGAAGTAACTGGCCCCCGAACTGAAATTTGATAGTTAATGCGGCCCTCGGACTGAAAAGTTTGGAGACCCCTGATTTAAAGTATTCAACGACGTTACCGACGCTATCTTGTAATACGGAATGTTTTCAAAACTAGTTCGTAAAAATTTCATAGAAAAAAAAAGAAATGTAATTCAACTGATGCATTTCTGCAAATATTAACCCAAGTGTGGTGCATTATTTCATGACGTTGCTTTCTTGATGCCTTAGTTAAATTTTAGATTAAGAAAAACATGTTAAGAAAAAGGTGTGCAATAAAAAAATAAGTTAATAAAAACAAAAATTAAATGTATAATGATCATAACATGTGAACAGATTTTATGCCCTTACAGCGTTACAAGTACATATTATATATATATATATATATATATATATATATATATATATATATATATATATATATATATATATATATATATATATATATTATTTGTATATAATTCCGCGTTTTAAATTTCGCTGTTAACAATCTACACTAGAGAGATAAAATGGACTCTTGTTTATATATATATATATATATATATATATATATATATATATATATATATATATATATATATATATATATAAATATATATACTATATATATATATATATATATATATATATATATATATATATATATATATATATATAGATATATATATAGATATATATATATATATATATATATATATATATATAGATATATATATAGATATAGATATATATATAGATATATATATAGATATATATATATATATATATATATGCCTGTTTGAGGGTAACATTTATTTCGTTAAAAAATCGATCTGATCTCCTTTGTGCAACATTCTTACGGTTTTAATTTCCGTATTTAAACCGAGGTTGATGTCTATAAAACTCAATAGTTTTAATTTTGAAATAAATTTTAAGTTTACAACGTATCTTTTTGATTGACGTGAAGTGCAGTGAACAAAAATTAAAATAATTTTGAATTAGTCTAAAAATTATGCAAATTACATCCCCTTACACCAATAACTTCACTTCAAGTGCCGTTTAACAATTATTATCATTAATTAATAATAGTTTAGTAACTGTTCCTAAATACCCTATATATTTTCATTTCTGTTTGCGCTTATTTTTGCGATTGTTTTTATGTTCGCGTTTATTTTTTTCATTATTTATCATTATTGTTTGCGTTTATGTTTCTTAATAAGCATGACCACCCTTTCCGTACAAAATAAAAACCTTAATTAATACCGGTCTATATTAAAATATTATGCAAAAAGCATTACAAAAAAAGTTGCAATTTTGGTACGAGTAATAAATAATAAGACACTTTGTTCATTGCTAACATTGCTTTTATAGCTCATATTTTAAAAAAAATTGTTTAATGTGTGATATTATTTTTTTCAATAGATAATTTGGCTTTCATCAAGTATTTTTAAACATGGCGAACAACAGTGCACACCATTTACTACATACTTGGTTAAACTTCAGTGACTACGATTTTTGGGTTCTTGAAATATTTCTCAACGTTGGATTAGGCTTATCTTTGGGTGTCCTTGGAGTTGTGGTCAACATTTTAAACCTGCTGGTCTTGTCACGACACAACCTGAAGGAAACCACCAACATAATGTTGCTGTCTCTGTCTTCACTGGATCTCTTTTATTCTTTCACGTCGATTTTCTTACGCTTATCTAGTCTGATTACACTTATTGATCCCGATTTTGCGAACACTTACTACACTTTTGTACAGGTAGTACTTCTTATGCCTAACGCTGTGAGCTTCGTCATCGCTATTTTCAATGTCACAGCTATAGGAATTGAAAGAGCCATCGCCGTGTTATTTCCCTTTCACGTATCTCGTATATTCACACCCTACAGAGCCAAGTGGATGCTGCTAGGTTTATACCTGTTTGGATCTGTCCCTGTTTGTCCGTACTACTACCGTTTAACTTACAGATGGGAGTTTGTTCCAAGCTTAAACAAATCTATTGCTGGATTGACGTTTACAGATTTTTTTTCTAAATAATAGGAACATCATACTGGACTACGTGGATTACTTTGTTAACAACACCACAACTACGATACCAATTATTATAGTGTTTATTTGTTCCACGTTGATTATCTTTCAACTTACGCAGCTAAAAAGGAAAGGGTTGTCGGGCAGATCATCAAAGCAGGTGAAGGAACTAAAAGTCGTGAAGATGTTGCTGGTTGTTTGTCTCGTCAGCTTCATGGTGTTGGTACCAGAGCATGTTCTCCATACCTACATGTCGTACTACGTCAATGATCTCTCATGGAACTTTAATTTCTTGGTCATATATCTTATACCTGTGACGTATCAGGTGAACTCCTGCGTCAACTTCTTTATCTACATCACGATGAGCTCGAAGTTTGCCGAGACTTACAAGACACTCATTCACGGGTCGTCAAGGCAATACAAGAAATCAATTGTTTGAAACGCAACACGGTTATTGTAACTTTTTAACATAACCAACGTGAAACAACACTATGTTACTTCACATTTCCACGTATCCTTTGTACTCTTTCTTTCAACCAAATGATTGTGTAAGAAAGAGTTTTCATAACTAACGATGTACGTAACAGATGTTTATCAAGGGAGTAAAAAATATAAAATCTGACTTTTTGACCCCCCCCTCGCAGTACTATTTAAAAACACTCTTAAATATACTGTACTATAATTTAGCTCAAATGTTGAAGTTTTACACCTCCCTCAGTCGGAAAGTTTTAGTATTGTGTTTGTCTTTTTTCTTCGTGCGTGTTCAGTGTCTGTTTGTCTCTAAACACGCTGAATTGAGTACCGTTTCAGTTTCAAATTTGAGCGAATTTGGTAATCGAAAGTGGTGCTTTCTTTACTTCCTTTTTCTTAAAAGACGGTAACATTACCTTTTAAGTTAGGTGAACGGAATTTCACATTTAAGTATTATATTTCATGCACATATTTCTTTCAACTTTCAAACGATTTTAGGTTACATGATGTAAGCGAAATTTCATGTATAGATACCTTAAATTTTAAAGTGACCTCCTTTGTCAGGAGGATAGGATAAATAGTTGTATTCTCAGATAGTCATGATTAGGTAAAAATCATAATGTCTAATCAAGGGGGCTGGGGCAGTAGCGTATGCAGAGGAGGAGCAGGGGGAGCGGCGGCTCCCTCGACGACCAATTTAAGGATAATGGCACCTTTTTCGGAGGATAATTGAACAACATTTAAATCAAGGTCTGACACACACACACACATACACACACACACACATACACACACACGCAGACACACACACACACGCAAACAACAACAAAAAGAGCAAGCACATAAGTTTAAATACTGTCATGTTATGTACACTAAATATCTCATTTTTAATAACCAATCGCAAGTAGATCTATAGTATACATTTTTCGCTTACGTATCGTCGCCTAGCTCAGCGCCAGGCATGTACGAGGCGCGTTTTTTTTTTGTCACAAGGTCTGTCCAGTTTTGTGCCTGTACATCTGCTGTTTTTCTTATTCCTTCTTGATAAAAATTGTTAACCACATACAGGTCGATCGTGATTCACAAATGTAGTCTTTGCTTGAGTTGTAGGCTCAATTTAGTCATCCATACTTTTATACTATACTAGAATACCCGTCATCCGTTGGATAACTGTGGGTTTCGGGGGTCATCCATCAAAAAACATCACGTCTGTCACTCAGAGGCACCCCAACATATGTCCCCCCCCGCCCACCCTTCCCCCCTCCACCTCCCTCCGCCTCCCCCCACGCCTCCCCACGCCTCCTCTCCCCTCCCGCCCCCCCCCTCCTCGCTACGCTACTGCAGTGTCACTTATCTAGATATAATCATTAGGCCCGGAGCGAGCATTTCAAAATTACCATATTCCAAACAAAGATTTATATAAAATAATAAAGGTCTAAAATAGTTTAGTATATAGAAAATCATTATTATCTAAATCTAGAAAGAAAATTATCTATATTTTAGATCTACGACTGAGCTATATTTAGAATTTACGTTTATAATTTAGCAACATTACCGGCATCTAAGCCGCGTATGAATCTTAAGCTACACCAATAGGCCCGGGAGCGAGCATTTCATAATTACCATATTCCAAACAAAGATTTATACAAAATAATAAAGGTCTAAAATAGTTTAGTATATAGAAACTCATTATTATCTAAATCTAGATAGAATTATCTATATTCTAAATCTACGACTGGTTTGCTTAAGTCTCGTTTTTTTTATTGTATTTATAACTAATAAATCTTTGATTTGACCTAGATTGTCCTAGATCTAGATTCTAGATTCTAGATCTAGATCTATAAATAACTTTCTCGGACAGATTTTAGATCTAGAGAAATTTATCGTAAAACTAAATGAAAAAGACAGTTGAAAATTGATATACGTGTTGGAACGTAATAAATACAGCAAACGGACGTATTGTTAAAGTTATGACCGACAGAAAATTAGCTTTAGAACGCGTTAAACTTTTGAATGGGAACACAATTTTCTTCGATAGACGCCGCCATTTTATTGTACTAAAGAGTAAACAAAAACCTGTGACGTCACTATTCCCACAAAGTTTAGTCAATGTTTTAACATTTAAAAAAAAAATGGGTTACTTTACGTATGAATAAATCAATAAATTAATTAACGTCTTTAAATAAATTTGTGATTAACAGTCTGTCTGCATTAAAAAATTATTCTCTACCTACATACTATTTTACAGCTCTCCAGATAGAGTCGAACATATCACAATAGTCAATCAGCCAAACAAACAAACAAACAAATAAATATTCAAACATGTAAACAAACTTGACTTTTAGTAGTATATAGATAGATTGTTTTTTTGGGTTTTTTGATCATTATAGAAATGTAGCGTAATTGTTTACCTAGTGTGCCCAGTAGAATACAATTTTGCTTATTTTTTATATGTCAATACTAGCAGGAAGGGAAACTGCCGATGCCTTGCCTGTCAGCTGATCTTTATTTTCCAAAGGCATCTTGTATAGATGCACATCTTTTTAGATGGATTAGGTTGAAAGCTCTGTGCATCTATATGGGGAGGGGGTGGGGAGGAAGCTGATTAAATGTGCACACAAATAAACACATCCTCAAACAACTTTAAGATTTTTTAGTATGAGTCAAGATGATCAGCACATTAGCACGTACAGATGTACTTAACGAACATATATTTAAATCTATCGGGTAAATTGTGCTAAAACAATAAAAACCAATATGGATAGGAGTAAAACTGCCTCCAAATGATGATTAAATCAAACTTCAAATAAAGAAAAACTATAGTTGTTTTGTTTTTACAATCAGAAGCATAGTTTTTGAAACAGGTAAAACTCGGTGAATATTGTTTTTGCAATTACCAGTAAAGAGGTGTGTGAGCAATAAAGTGATCTAACACATACCTCATGATTATGTTAAAAAATAAATGTTTAAAGAACACAAAAAGCAGTAGCTAATTAAATAAATAGGGAGTGCTCTCATCTAAACTTTCTCGAATATTCTTATATAAAACTACGGGGAATGGCAACTTGGGATATAAGCGTGATTTTTACAAGCTTTTATTAATCCAGTTTTATTTACTTAAACTTTTAAAATAGAATAGAAACTCGTAGAATAAGGAATTGCGCACCAAGTGAACGCCAAAAAATCTGTGTGCGTAATATTATTAGTACTTTATAAATTCACATGCGTTGTTTTGAGAAATCGGAAAATAGCGTAAATTACAACTGTCGGTCAATGAATAGTACTCAAATTTTGGCAGAAGACAGAGAATTATATCTTTAACTTACATGTGAAATTTCATGTATCGGTCTGAAACAGTACTCAAGTTATAGGCTTTTAAAAAATAAAAGTCGAATAAGTTCCACTTCCGGTTATCGGAATAGCTGCAAAGTTGATACAGAACTACAAATTTGATATAATTTTTGTATATGAAGTTTCATCAAGCTAGCCGTACCGGTACTCAAGTTATCGTGTTCACAGACACACATACACATACGCACAGACATACGGACAAGATTGCAAAACTATGTTTTTCCGACTCAGGGAGGTGTACAACGTCGAGATTTGAAAAAAATCTCGAGTTTTCTTTTTGCTCGATTACAATACTTTCTCTATACTTCGTAGACGAGAAAGTAAAAAAAGTAAATAAATTTAAATATTTTCACTTAAACGACGAAATTAAATAATAAACTCCATCTTGTCATTTCTTTTTTATGTTGAGCTTACTGTAACTAGCGTATAGTTAGAAGCACACGTAGACCTAATTGGTAACAATAGACACAGGTGGAGCAACTTATGTAAACAATTACAATATAATGTGTACCAATATATAAAAGTTTAACCAAAAATAGAAACTTTCTGGAAAACAAGTGTTTGTGTGAAAGAGACACAGTATGTGTGGGTATAAAAGAAACCCAAACTTTACAGTAGACACAGTAGGCCTGGGAAAGTTGTGGAGAACTATTGTATTAGGAAAGAGATGTTCTGAGACGAGAGATGAAGAATGCGGATAGAAGACAATAATGGGTCGTTTCGTTTGCCTCTAGAAGACTGTAGTGGTGTTGTCAATGATTCAACGTCAGGCGTAACAAGGATCTGACGTGTTTGATGAGCAGAGGCGTAGCGACCCTTCCCGGCGCCCGGGGACAAACTTTCGATTTGCACCCCCCCCCACTCGAGATTTCGATTTGCACCCCCCTCAAACTTTCGATTTGCACCCCCCTCAACATTTCAATTTATTTTTCCAACCCATTTTGGCACCCCCTAAGGTCGGCGCCCGGGGACACATGTCCCCCCCCCCGCCCCCCCCCCCTCGCTACGCTACTGTTGATGAGAGAACAGTGTCAATAAAATGTGAAAGTTATGGAAGGAACCAGTGTATGCAGAAATAACAATGGAGATATGTTGGTTTTAGTATTATTTTTCTGGGTCGATGGTTTTCATCTAGATCAAGTAAATTGAAATAATCTCGAACCTGCAGCCAGAGTGTGTTTCTTTTT